AGAAACAAGTTAAGAAAAAAAAAATAATGGACAGAATTATAATGGAAGCTAGAAAGAAACGAAAGTAGAGTTAAAGATAAAGATGGTTGGGAATTGAGCAACAAGGAAGTAGCATGAGATTTCAATGCAAGGCTACACAAAGAAGCAATGACAAATGGGGTCTTCTATGCTTTTTTTCTTCTTTCTTTTTTTTTCAGTTATGGATCAGGAAAAGCACAATAATTCTAACAATAAATGCTTTCACGTTCAGTTTTGTTTTTTATAAATCAATCAGCAAAGTGCACGAATTTCACCACTAAGAAAGTCGAATCAGAAGACTTCAAAGAAGACAGATTTGTAGATAAGATCCAGATCTATAATAATGCAGCAGACGAAAATTGGAAAAGATGAATGGAATTGATACTTTTTTTTTGTAATTTTTTGACAGAATGCATATGCTTAGATATAATARAACATAAGCAAGGAACACAGAATTCAAAGAGATAAATGCAAGGAAACATATATCCGATCAAAGAGCCTAATGCTCTGATACCAAAATGTTAAGAAACCCTTGAGAGTTGGATCTAAGAACCTTGCTAACGAACAAGACCCATAGAACTCAATCCCAAAAACCCCGAAAACAAGTATGGAATCAACCCAAGGAAAAGTTTTAGAACGGATTACCTTAATGCTCAATATCAAGAGTAGAGAAAACTTGTTTCTAAACTCGTGATTCGAATCACTCCACAAGAGGTATGATCAACACCGCTTGAATGATCCTAASATGSAAATTCTAAAGACAMAAGAAATTGYACAAGAAATGGGAGRTAAATCTCTCAACCAAGCTAATGAGAAAACTCACTTTTCATTCAACTTCAAATTGTGTTACAACAAGACATCTCAAGGCTATATATAGCCATCCTAGCAAGCCATATGAAAAGTCTTAAGCAAATGAAAAGACTTGTAACTTACAAGAAATGAAAAGACTTGTAAATGAAAAGACATAACTTACGAGAAATGAAAAGAYAAGCAAATGAAAAGGTTAAGAACATGGAAAGCCAACCAAAATAATTGCAATCCCGTCCATAATGAGGGATGTGAGTGTTTGACTTGGTTTTTGAATTGAATCAGTTGATTTTGACTTGTCTTGATGGAGTTGACTTTGACCTTGACCAAGTGGACTTTAGCTTGCCATAAAAACACTTAAAAATGCATAACTTGCACCAAATTGAAGTGCATAGTTCTAACTTCTTGCACATCTTCCTTTATTTCTCTTGTCGAGTTCAAGAACGCTTGGACATGAAGTAGCAAAGCTTGTTGAAGTTTCCTAGCTCTCGATCTTGTAATCGGTCCATGAGACATAACAACGGTAGCTCCTTGGTTTATATCAGCAAAGGTAATCCCTCTAACCATTAGCCTTTCGGGTTGAACCATCTCTATGATTGGATTTAAGTGGCTTGTGGCTCGAGTATCTGAATACGCTTGGGTTGTTGCGTATCACCTAATCATGCTTAGAACTTGTGTTTATCGCTTGGGAATTTAGCAACGAGAGTTGTGGGTATCCATGTTTGGGTGTCTCATAAGGGAACCATGTGGAGTTCAGCATTAATGAATGATTTTGCGCTAGAGTATAGGTTGGGATTCACGGAAAGCATGTATGTCTCCCTTGCTTTTCCATATATGTTTAACCACCATTTTCGCTATTCTTTGCTGAAGCTTCTCCCCGTTGTCAACATTTTAAAGCGTGTTTACTGCTAGGATTCTTTATTGCTTTGTTTATGATATTTTTCTTTTGTTGTCAACACAAACATCTATATTTTATTGTTTTTGTAATTTTGGTATCTTCAACCATAGTTTAAAATATTTTCATAAGTCCTTGTTGATTCGACCTCCTTTCATACTACAATCGACGGATATAGTGTATACTTGCACTTGTAGCTATCACAGTTGTGAGGACGCAACACATACTTCAGTGCTCGAAAGATTTCTATTTCTAACTAATTAAAACTAGAGCAATCCAAAGATTGTTCACTTTTGGGTAAAATCGTGGTGTCAAACTTCAATAGATGAAACTTTTATTTTTTTGACTCATTATCACTCAAGCATCTCAAAGATTGTTCACTTTTAAGTTAAATCATCGTGTCAAACTTCAGTGGATCAATACTTCTTCTTTGGACGCATTCAAACTCGAACAACAAAATTTTGGTTTACTATTAGGTAAAACCATGGTGTCAAACTTCAGTGGATGAAAAACTTTTTATTTTAGACTTACTAGAACCCGAGCAACCGAAATATGGTTTACTTTGGGTAAAATTATAGCGCCAGAAGTTAGTGTACGAAAAAATTGTGTTTTTTACTCATTAAAACTCGAGCAACCCAAAGATTGTTCACTTTTGGGTTAGATCCTTGTGTCACGCTACAGTGCAGGAAAACTTTATGTTTATTACTTATTAAAACTAGAGGAACCAAAATATTGTTCACTCCTGGGTGGGTAAAATCATGGTGTAATACTCCAGTGGACAAAAAGTTTTCGTTTCATACTCATTAAAGCTCGAGCAACCCAAAGATGGTTTACTTTTGGGTATAATTGTGGCATCAAACATCAATGGACGAAAACTTTTTGTTTCGTACTCGTTAAAAGTCAACAATCGAAAGATGTTTCACTATTGGGTAAAATCGTGGTGTCATACTTTAATGGACGAAAACATTTTTTTCTTGACTCATTAAAATGCCAGAAACCCAAAGATTGTTCGATTATTGGTAAAATCGTGGTGTCATACTTCTGTGAACGAAAATTTCATTTTCTGACACATTAAAAACTAGAGCAATCTCAAGATTATTCACTTTTGGGTAAAATTGTGGCGTCAGACTTCAATGGACGAAACTTTTATTTTTTGGACTCATTAAAACTCTAGGAACTTAAAGATGGTTCACTTTTATGTTAAATCATGGCGTCAAACTTCAGTGGACGAATACTTTTTGTTATGGACTCATTAAATATGGTTTACTTGTTGGTAAAGTCATTGTATCGGACTTCATTTGACGAAAACTTTCTTTTTCGAACTCATTAAACACGAGCAACCCAAAGATGGTTCACTTTTGGATTAAATCATAGCGTGAAAGTTCAGAGGACGAACAAATCATGTTTCGGACTCCAAAGATATTTCACGTTTTGTTAAAATCGTGGCGTCAGACCTTAGTGTACAAAAACTTTCTGTTTTGGACTGATTAAAACTCGAATCCTAAAGATGGTTCACTTTTCCGTTAAATCATGGTGTCAGACATCAGTGGACGAAAACATTTGGTTTTGGACACATTAGAACTCGAACAACCTAAAGATGGCTCACTTTGGGTAAAATTGTGACGTCATATGTCAATGGACAAAACCTTTATATTTTTGCCTCGTTAAAACTCGAGCAAGCAGAAGACGAGTCAGTATTCGGTTTAATCATTATGTCAAACTTCGGTGGACGAAAACGTTTTGTTCTGCACTCATTAAAACTCAAGCAACCCAAGGATGATTCACTTTTCGGTATAATCGTGGCGTCAGACTTCAGTGGACGAAAACTTTGTGTTTCAGACTCGTTAAAACTCGAGCAATCCTAAGATGGTTCATTATTGGGTAAAATCGTGGTTTCATACTTCAACGGACAAAAAACTCTATTTTTT